TTTCCAGCCTTAGTCATTGGGCATGTGTGTTAGTGGAAAGCAGTTATGGGGTTTTGTAGACCCCCAGGAACATGGGACCACCTGAGGTTTTTTTTTTTTTTTTTATTAACATATATTGTATTATTTGCTTCAGGAGTACAGGTCTGTGAATCCTCAGTCTTACAGAATTCACAGCACTCACCATAGCACATACCCTCCCCAATGTCCATAACCCAGTCACCCATCCCTTCCCCCCACTACCCAGCAACCCTCAGTTTGTTTCCTAAGATTAAGAGTCTCTTGTAGTTTGTCTCCCTCCCCGAGGATCACCTGAATTCTTGCATTTAGAGATTTCAGGTCCTCTCCTAGTCTCTGAGAGGAAAACCAGACTTCATATGATAAGCGAAACAGAAGAGCCCAGGGAGTTTTCAGAAGCGTATGTGTGACTATGCTATTTCAGGAATTGTTCCAGTATGAGATGTTTATAATAAGTTTGGTGTGACCCAGCCAAGGAGCTTAATATAACACGGTTAAGTGAATGGTGGGAGGGGAGAGTCCCGTTCTGTGCCAGCTTGCATTTATTAGTAATCAAACAGGTTTGCTGATGAGACTCGCTGAGCAATTACTAAATCTGGGACTTGTGGTTTGCAAATCATTTTGACTAACAGCTGCTGTCACCTATCTTAGGACAAGAAAAAGTAAGTGTTATTTTATCACACTACATATTAGTCACAAAGAGACTAAAAACAGTATAATTTTGGCAAATATAAAATTTACTGGTTAAGTCGAAAATCATGTTCTGCCCTTGCACTAGGCTCACTAAAGATGACTTTCCTGGGAACATCTCAGTGACTGTTTCTTCGGTCTCCATGAAGAGTTTACTGTCATCTGGGTTAATGAAGGCCTCTTTTGGCAAAAGGAATTTGTTTATCTACATACATACACAGATATTTGTAAAAAATTTTTTACATCCCTTAAGAGTTTTGCCTTAAATCTCCAACTGGGACTTGGGTGAAATATTTGTCCAAATTTCATAATTAAGTATTGGATGATTATTAAGATATGTCTACCTCATCTAAAGTTTGGAAGTTTAATGTTCAAGAAATAGTTGTTAGTAAAGGGAGAAAATACTTACATGGTTAGTAAAGGTAAGATAATTACATTGTCAACATCTTTTGAATTAAAGTTTGATTCAGGAGGCTTTCTAAAGAGCTTTTGAGTTAAATCTTTTTTCAAGGATGTTACTTTTGTATCTATATTTTTTGGAAAGAAATCCAACTATTTTTTAGTGATTGAAGAATATGGATATTGAAAAATACAAATTATGCCCTTATGTTTGTCTATTCCTAAAAAAATATGAAATATTCTCTAAACTGTACGTAAATAGTGAATTTATTCTGACTCCTTTAGGAAGTCAGAACAAATGTAGAAGATTTTGTTAAATCTCAGTATAAATGCCTAGAACTCTGCAATTACATCACTGGTGAAAATTAAATATATAATGAATAAACTTACTTTAGGTAAGAAATCACATTTTTAAAAGAATTTTTTTAAAAGATTTTATCCATTTAAGAGAGCGAGCACAAGCACGGGGAAGGGGCAGAGGGAGAGGAAGAAGCAGACTCCCTGCTGAGCAGGGCGCCTGACGCAAGCCTCAGGCCTCCATCCTGGGACCTGAAGATCATGACCCGAGCCAAAGGCACACACTTAACCAACTGAGCCACTCAGCCCCCCCGCCCCCCACAAATCACATTGTTTTATAGATGTTTCCGGGCCTCAGAAGCTTTTAATCATTGCTTTGGATCAGGGAGGTGGTTGAAAAGTGTTGACTAAAGAGGTTTACTGTATATATTAAAGCAATTCAGGCAATAACAATAACGAGACTCAGATTCTAGAAATAAGAACAATGAGGCGTAGTTCAATCAATGAGAAATAAAACACATGAAATAATTGGTTTAGATAATCTCTAACATTATTTTACATTCAGTGAATTGAATCTAAATGGAAATTCCCAGATTTGCAGTCCCAGTGTTCTGTTTATAACCACGGACTTCGCAAACAATATAGCATTATGCATAGTGCGTGATGCAAAAGAGAGGCCCTTAATTTTTCCATCCTCACTCCCAAACTAGGATAACCCCCTAGTATATGCTCCCAGAGCCCCTGGCGCTTTTCTTTCCCAGTGTGTAATGATAGAGTTATCTCTGGGCTTTAGGGTTGCTAGATTTATCTAATAAAAATACAAGAGTCTCAGTGAAATTTGAATTTCAGATAAATGATTTTCTAGGATAAGTTTTTCCTGTGCAACTTTTGTGACATACTTATATTAAAAAAATCAGCCCTTTTATCTGAAATTCAGATTTTTTTTTAAAAGATTTTATTTGAGGGACACCTGGGTGGCTCAGTTGGTTAAAGATTTTATTTGACAGCACAAGCAAGGGGAGTAGCGGGCAGGGAGAGGAATAAGCACTCCCCACTGAGTAAGGAGCCTGGTGTGGAGCTTGATCCCAGGACCCTAGGATCATGAGCTGAAGGCAGAGGCTTAACCCATTGAGCCACTCAGGCACCCCTGAAAATTCAGATTTTCTTGGGCATCCTGGATTTAATGTGTATTTCCAGTAACTTACTGGTTTGTATCTGAACCTCCTGCAGACTACAGGCCTTAGGAGAGTAGATACTTTCAAGCAGAAGTATTAGCACTTTCTAGGTACTTAATAAATCTTGGTTGAGTGCCTAAAGGGCTGAGTGATATGGAGTACAACTGAGGTTCAGAGAATTTTAAAAACATTTCTTGGGGCATCTGGCTGACTCAGAAGAGCATGTGACTCTGGATCTCTGGGTTGTGAGTTAGAGCCCCACGTTGGGTGTAGAGGTTACTAAAAACAATAAACTTAAAAAATGAACACTTCCCTTTGGGATTTCTACAAGTGTGCCATCTTTACACTGTAAATAGTCGATCAACTGAGGGAAATAAAGAGGAAAATCCATTTAAAAGAGACTCCAATGGTGCCTGGGTGGCTCACTCAGTTAAGCATCTGCCTTCGGCTCAGGTCATGATCTCCGGGTCCTGGGATGGAGCCCCACATCTGCCTCCCTGCTCGGCAGGGAGTCTGCTTCTGCCTCTGCCTTTTACGCGTGTGCCCTCTCTCTCAAATAAATCTTAAAAAAAAAAAAAAAAAAAAGATTCTAAGCAGCTGACCCTGCAAATATAATTAACTTCCAGTTTTTAATTTGCAGTTAGTACTTTTTCAAAGATCGTTATTGCGCAAGTTCGACTTGTGTTTTTAAATGTTATGGCAGATTGCAGCTAATCTCTTCTATTGAGATCTAAAACTGAAGAAGAGGTTTGGATGGGACAGACACGAGAGGTTTCCAGGCATATATGGAGGAGGTGGCCCAAATTTCAAAATCCTTATCAAATCTTTTTGAACTCCGATGTTCTGCTTTATATTAGAAAAAGCAAAACAAATCAATTTTAAGAATGTTCATTAGCTCATGAAAAACCAAGGTCTTAAGTGTACTCTTTAGTTCATAAACCATGGAGTGGAGGTCACTTAGGTGAGTCATGGAAATTTTGCAAACAGATGATAAAAGGAGAAAAATGCCTTGGAAAAACAAATAGAAATGCATGTCTTACATATTACAAATAGAAATGCATATCTTCTATGCTAGAAACATTAATCTGGCTCAGTCACAAATGCCCACAAGGCAAAGCCTTTCCCTGGGGCTTGAACAGCCTCCCACCTTAGTATCCAAGAAGGAGGGTAGACAGGATCTGAGAGTTTGAAGTTCCAGTTTTAGGGTTTCTATTAGCCTCATGCCCAACCTGTGCTTCCATTCTCTGACCCTTGAAAGGAAAACCAGTTCTTTCATATTGAGAACATTTGTAGATACCTAATCAGTCTTTCAAGACTTTTTGCTCTCTTCTGTCATTCCCTCTATATCACTTCCTACCTCCCAGTGGAGAGATGAACAGCTCCCATGTGGCCAGGGGAAATTCTCCAGAAAAGGTGGTAGCTGTGAGGAGTTGAGGGTCCACACTCGCGGGAGCTGGGGGAAAGGTCTACAAGCCTGGTATTTGTGTATATCCTATATGAATGTGGATTACCAGTGATGCTCGTAACAATGTATTGTGTACCTAGGAAAAAAAAAATCACATCATGGTTTTTTAATACAAGAATTAAAATTGTTTTTGAGGAAACAACATGCATACACAGTTTAAACAATCAAAGGATAGAAGTCCAAGTTTAAATGGCAAACATGCGGTGCAGTTACAAAGCCTAGGAGAGAACAGAAAGAATAGATTCCAAAGAGTATACACCAATTCCAGAATTGCCATAGAGGAATGTGTTTTAGGCTTGGCGTTGAAAAACAACCCTTGAGTATATGGAGAGGAGGGTATTGTCAAGTGGCAACACAAAGGTTATGATCATGACTGATTAGTAAAGGATTCTGTTGGTAGGAGCATCATTGACTGGAGCTGTCCTCTTGAAGTAAATTGAAGCCAGATTGTGAGGATTTTTGAGTGTCTTCTTCTAAATACCAGTCTTTCCAAATACCCCTTCCAATTATAGTTCTTCTAAAATTTCTCTTCCTTTTGTTCATTTTCTATGAGGGGATTTTTCAAGAAAGATCTATGAATGGAAATCTTAAGGTCCTAAAAATCATCACTTTCGAACTCTAACTCTCTAGCTATTTGTAACTATTCAAACTACTGTAACTCTTTGCCTAGGCAAAATTTTGGACTTCTTTCCACAGGGCATATAGAGTAAATTCTCATTAGATGAGAACCAGAACAGTACTCCAACAGGAACTGTAAGCAACTTCACCATCACCATCATATGTGACCTATTATTATAAATGAAAAGCAGTATGGTTAGGAGTCCAGCCTCTGGAGTGGGACTGCTGGGATCAAATCCGGCTCCAGCACTTATCTGGGGTGACTTTGGGTGTGTCTTATTTTCTCTTTACCTGGAAATGGAGATAATAGTAATGTCTACTTCATAGGGTTTTGAGAATGAAATGAGTTGATACATATAAAGAATATAGTACCATGCCTAGCACATGGCACATACTTTGTGTTAGCTGTGGTTATTTTCAGGAAATTCGAGTGCCAATTAAACACATGGAAAGTTGTTTAAACCAATTGTTTAAAGACCTCTTAATCCCTCCACAGCTGATTTAGGACTAAATAGCATTGCTAGATTATTGTCGGGACAGTACTAACTTAAAGAAAAACAACAACATGTCTACTTCTGCCTGCACTTTAGCCACTTCACCTGCATGATTGGAGGAAGATCAACAATGGCCGCTGTGAGGAAGGTCACTGACAAGCGGCATAACCCAGTGGAAAGCATCTGTAGAAAAATCAGAGCCATCCAAAAGAGAGAAGACACTTCAGATCCAGTTCGACAGATTCTCAAATACCAGTCAAGCAGTTTTGATAGTCCGCAGATTAACACCGAGAAAGATATTGAAGAGGTTCTGAAGAACATGGCGACCACTCCTATTCCCTCGCCCAACACTTTCTTCTCAAGTACCACGAGAGACGATGCCATCATTCCATCTCCTCAAGTAAGGTCTCCAAGAACCCCATCCATTTCTCATCTCCGCTCTCCCGAGAATGCCACATATCCTGTTCTTCTCACAAGTTCTGAACACCTCTCAAGGCCAAGACCTGAGAGCTGTCAGAATTCTTCATCCTGGGCATCACAGACCAGGAAGGGGGAGCACTTCTCTACCAAGGATTTGAATAACCATTGTGAAAATCATTTTAATGCCTTAACACTTGACTTTGATTCAACCTCTGATAAAAACTCTGAATGTCTTACTCCTCAGGAATCAGTGGTGAAAAAATTATCTCTAAATGAAGCTGGTAAATATTAATTTTTTAATGTTTGTTCTTCCAATAAAGGAATAAGCATATCACTTCCTGAATACCCGAGTTAAAAAAAAAAAAAAAAACCCAATCCACATGATTAAAATTTGGATGAAATCATCATCTTTCCCTTTTTAAGTAAGCTTCTTTCTCTCTTTCAAAAATTTATTTTTTTAAATTATTTTTAAAAATTTTAATAGATGTATAGTTGACCTGTTAATTTCACGTGTACAATGTAATGATTCAACAGTTACATACTTTATTAAGTGCTCACCATGGTAAATGTATTTAATGTCTGTCAATATTTACAATATTATTGACTATATTCCCTATGTTGTACTTTTCATCCTCAAGATTTATTTATTTTATAACTGAAAGTTTGTACCTCTTAATCCACTTCACCTATCCTGTCACCTACCTCCCCTCTGGCAATCATCAATTTGTTCTCTGTACTTTTTTAGTCTAATTTCTTTTTGTTTTATTTTGTTTCTTAGATCCACACATAAAGTATATGTTGTCTTTGTCTGATTTATTTCACTTAGCATAATGCCCTCTAGGTCTATCCATGTTATCCTGAATGGCAAGATTTTATTCTTTTTTATGGCTGAGTGATATTCCACTGGGTTCATATGCCAATTCTCCTTTATCCATTTATCAGTAGACATTTAGATCAGTTTACTATCCCACCAATAGTTTATAAGGGCTCTCTTTTCTCCATATCCTTACCAACAGTGGTTATTCTTGACTTTTCAATACTGACTGGTGTGAGGTGATATTTCATGGTGGTTCTGATTTATGTATCCCTGATGGTTAGTGAGGTCAGGCATCTTTTCCTGTGTCTGTTGACCATCAGTATGTCTTTGGGGAAAATGTCTATTCGTTCATCTCCCAATTTTTTAATTGGGTTATTTGGTTTTTTAGAGTTGAGTTGTTTGTTATTTATATATTTTGGATATTATCTTCTTACTGGATATATCATTTACAAATATCTTCTCCCATTCAGTTCATTGCCTTTTCATTTTATTGATAGTTTTCTAAGCTGTGCAAAAGCTTTTTAGTTTGATATGGTCCCAATACTTTTTTCCCTTTGTTTCCATATACTGAGGAGAATGATTCAGAAAAATATTGCTAAGGTCAATTTCCAAGAGTTTACTGCCTGTTTTCTTTCAGGAGTTTTATGGTTTTAGCCTTTATGTTTTGATATTTAATCCATTTTAAGTTCATTTTAGTGTATGATATAAGGAGTTCGCCTAGTTCCATTCTTTTCCATGTAGTTGTCCAGTTTCCCCAGTATTATTTATTGAATAGACTATCTTTTCTCTATTATACATTCATGTCTCCTTTGTCATAGACTAATTGACAATGTAAGTATGGGTTTATTTCTGGGCTTTCTATTCTATTGATTTATGTGCCATTACCATACTGTTTTGATTACTACAGCTTTGTAATATAACTTGAAATCTGAGATTGTAATGTCTTCAGTTTTTTTGTTCTTTTTCAAGATAACATTGGCTACTACTTGAGATCTTTTGTGGTTCCATATAAATTTTAGTAGTCTAGTTCTTTGAAAAAAAAAAACTTCTCAAAAATTTTAGGTAGGTAACAAATAGTGCAGTATTGTTTCTTGCGTAGAATTCAGTGATTCTTCACTTACAACACCCAGTGCTCATCGTAACAGGTGCCCTCCTTAATATTCATCACCCATCTAGCCCACCCCCTACACAACTTCCCCCCGTCAACCCTCAGTTTGTTCTCTATAGCTAACAATCTCTTATGGCTTATTTCCCTCTCTCCTTATTTTTTCCCCTTCCCATATGATCCTCTGTTTTCTTTCTTAAATTCCACCTATGAGTGAGAGCATACGGTATTTGTCTTTCTCTGTCTGGCTTACTTCACTTAGCATAATATACTCTAGCTCCATCTATGTTGTTGCAAATGGCAAGAGCTCATTCTTTTTGATGGCTGAATAATATTGTGTTGTATATAAATATACCACATGTTCTTTATCCATTCAATAGTTGATGGACATTTGGGCTCTTTCTGTAGTTTGACTGTTATTGATATGCTGCCATAAACATCAGGATGCATGTATCCTTTCGAATCTGTATTTTTGTATCCTTTGGGTAAATACTTAGTAATGCAATTCCTGGGTCGTAGAGTAGTTCTATTTTTAACAATTTGAGGAAACTCCATTCTATTCTCCAGAGTGGCTGCAGCAGTTGACATTCCCACTAATAGTGCAAGAGGTTCCCCTTTCTCTGCATCCTCACCACACCTGTTGTTTCTTGTGTTGTCAATTTTAGCTATCCTTACAAGTAGTAATATCTTAATAGAGATCACTCTAAGTTTATGGATTGCATTGAATAGTATGGATATTTTAACAATATTAACTCTTAAAACCCATGAGGATGATATGTCTTTCCCTTTTGTGGTATTGTTTTTAATTTCTTTCCTCCATATCTTATAATTTTCAGACTACAGGTATGCTACCTCTTTAATTTTATTCCTAGGGAAATTATTCTTTTTGATACATTTGTAAGTTGGATTGTTTTCTTAATTTCTCTGTTATTTTGTTATTGGTGCGTAGAAATGCAACAGATTTCTGTATATTGATTTTGTATCCTGAGACTTCCCTGAATTCATTTCTACTTCTAAGAGTTTTTGCTGTAGTCCTTAGGGTTTTCTATGTATAATATGACGTCCTCTAGAAATAGTGACAGTTTTACTTCTTCCTTACCAATCTGGCTGACTTTTATTTCTTATCTGATGACTGTGGCTAGGACTTCCAGTTCTATATTGAATAAAATTGATGAGAGTAGACACCCTTGTCTTGTACCTGATCTTAGAGGAAAAGCTTTCAGTTTTTCATGATTGCCTGTGATGTTAGCTTTGGGTTTTTCACAGAAGGCCTCCGTTATATTGAGATATGCTCCCTCTAAACCTACTTTGTTGAGACTTTTTTTTTTTTAAATCATGAATAATATTGTACTTTGTCAAATGCTTTTCTTGCATCTATTGAGATAATCATATGGTTTTAATCCTTAATTTTGTTAATGTGGTGTATCACATGGATTGATTGATATGTATAGAATCATCCTTGCATCAATGAGCTAAATTCCACTTGATTATGTGAATGATCCTTTAATGTACTATTGAGATCAATTTGGTAATATCTTGTTGAGGATTTTTACATTTATGTTCATCAGAAATACTAGTCTGTGGTTTCCTTTTTTGTAGTGTCTGTCTGATTTTGGTGTTAGGGTAATGCAGTCCTCATAGCATGAACTGGAAGCTTTCCTTTCTCTTCTATTCTTTGGATAGTTGAGAAGAATAGGTATTAACTCTTTAAATGTTTGATAGAACTCAACCGTGAAGCCATCTGCTCCTGGACTTCTGTTTGTTGGGAGTTTTCTATTACTGCTTCAATTTCATTACTAGTAAGTGGTCTGTTCAGATTTTCTGTTTCTTCCTGATTCAGTTTTGGGAGATTGTATGTTTCTAGGAATTTATCTGTTTTTTTTTTTTAATTTTTATTTTCTTTATCTAATTTGTTGGTATACAACATCTTGTAGTCTTTTATAATCCTTTGTATTTCTGTGATATCAGTTGTAACTTCTGTTTCATTTCTAATCTGTCTTGGCTTTTTTTTTTTTTAATAAGTCTGGCTAAAAGCTTATCAGTTTTGCTTATTTTTTCAAAGAACCCAGCTCTTAGTTTCATTTATCTTTTCTATTTTTTTTTCCAGTTTCTATTTCATTTATTTTTCCTGTTCCTCTACTTCTATTTCCTTCTGCCATTTTTGGACTTAACGTTTTTTTGCCTCTAATTCCATTAGGTGTAAAGTTAGATTGTTTTGTTTTTAAATATTTTATTTATTTGACAGAGATCATGAGTAAGCAGAGAGGCAGGCACAGCAGAGAAAGCAGGCTCCCTGCAGAGCAGAGAGCCCGATGCGGGGCTGGATCCCAGGACCCTGGGATCATGTTCTGAGCTGAAGGCAGAAGCTTTAACCCACTGAGCCACCCAGGTGGCCCTAAAGTTAGATCGTTTACTCGATATTTTTCTTGTTTCTTGAAGTAAGCCCATCTTGCTATAAAACTTCCTTCTTAAAACTGTTTTTGCTAAGTCTCAAAGATTTTGAACAAAGATTTTGTATTTTCCAATTTCATTTTTCTCCAAGTATTCCTTGATTTCTTCTTTGACTTCCTCAGTGACCCTTAAGTTGTATACTAATATGCTGTTTAGCCTCCAAGTGTTTTTGTGTTTTTTCCAGTTTTTTTTTCTTATAATTGATTTACAGTTTCATAGTACTATGGTTGAAAAAGATGTTTGGTATGATGTACAGTCTTCTTAAATTTACTGGTACTTATTTTGTGGCCTAATGACATCTATTTTGGAAAATATTCCATGTGCACTTGAATGTGTATTTTGTTTTTGAATGGAATATTCTGTATCTGTTAAGTCCATCTGCTATAATGTGTCATTTAAAGCCACTATTTCCTTATTAACTTTCTGTCTGGATGATCTTTCTATTAATGTGTGCTAAAGTCTCCTACTTTTACTGTATTACTGTCCCATTTCTTTCTTCATGTTTGTTAATAGTTGCTTTTTGTATTTAGGTGCCCTGTGTTGGGTGCATAGATATTTACAATTGTTATATCCTCTTGTTAAATTGATCCTTTTATCATTATGTAAATGGCCGTGATTATTTTTTGTTTCAATCTGTTTTAAAGTGTATTTTGTCTAAGTATTGCTACCCCAGGTTTTTTTTTTTTTTCTATTTGCATGAAATTTCTATTTCTACCCTTTCACTTTCAGTCTTTATCATTTTAGTTTAGGATGTCTTGTAGACAGCATATAGATGAGTCTTGTTTTTATCTATTCACTCACCCTATGTCTTTTGATTGGAGCACTTAATCAGTTTACTTTTAAAGTAATTATTGATAGGTATGTACTTACTGCCATTGTGTTTATCATTTTCTGATGGTTTTTGTAGT